AACTACTAACTACTAACTACTAACTACTAACTACTAACTACTAACTACTAACTACTAACTACTGACTACTGCTACGGCTACTGCTACTGCTACTGCTACTGCTACTGCTACTGCTACTGCTACCACCACTACTACTACTACTACTACTACTACTACTACTACTGCTACTACTGCTACTACTACTACGACTGCTACTACTACTACAACAGCTGCCGCGACCGCTACCGCTACCGCTACTGCTATTGCTACTGCATCGGCATACTTCCGAACCCTGGGCCAGTGCATCGCGAATCCGACTCCGCTGCCGCGCAAGAAGCAGCTTCCGAGGTGGAACTGGGCCTCAGGGTGGATTTGTAGGATTCGTACTTAGGGGCTAGGGCGTAAGGTTTATGGTGCGGTCTGAAACGAGACCCCCAGACAAAGGCTTCGGGCATCCATCTGTGTGTGTGTGTCTATCCAATACATCCGTGTCATAGTCTGTCTCTTTCTATTGTGTGCAAATATGCAGTGTGAAGAAAGCTTGCTGCATGAGGTGCTAAACAAACATGTTCTACTAAAATATTCGCAACATGCTAGTCGGGCACGGGAGCATTCAAGCACAAATCACCACCAGCCGGACATGGGTCCTAGCTCAAAGCTATCTGGTAAGAACGAAACGAAACGACCTGGCATTAACTTCCAATCCAAGCTGTTCCACATGGTGACTGGACTCAATTGCTAAATGCCCTTGTTCAGGCACGCTTGCCTGCGTAGCTACACATCCCACATCCGTACATACATGCATGCATGCATCATGTACATGCACTAATGCATATTTCGAGGTACACATGTAAACATATCGACATATACCTGTACATTACCAAGCATGTGCATGCCACATGTGGCGTAGAGGGCTTTAGACTCAGATCATGGGCTTCGGAGAACACCAGGAAGCCGCACAGATTGAAGCACCACGCCAAGGCCTGAACTCCAAGACGCTACATAACTTCCTCAACTGCTCAGCGAAGATGCAAAATCCGACAAGCCTGAAACCAGCAAATCAGGATGACTGTTAAAGCTCTGACTTTGGGATGCCGCAAAAAATTTTAACGCCCCAAAAGAGAAATCCGCAGCCCTTATGATAAGTTACCCTAAACCCTAAACCCTAAACCCTTGAAACCCCACACAAACCCTGCTTGGACTCAGCCGGCCTCCGCATCCCCACGGTCCGCAAGGCGCTGCCAAATGGCAGCGGCGCTGCTGCCCTTGCCGAGGCACATCCCTGGGATAAGGCTGATTTGGAGGGGTAGGATTTAGGATTGTTGGGTTTCAAAAGGTGGTCCTGATATTTGGGGTTCTGGGGACTGGGGTAGAGGGTTGGGTGTAGTAGACTGTTACCCAGGAGTCGAGGCTAGAGCATTGACTCAGATTTGCGACAGAACCAGCGCTAGCACCATTTCAGCATTGTCACCATTGGGGTCTATCCGGAGACGGGAGAAGGCGAGTAGTTGCAGGTCTCAATAACCCACGGTTAGGGTTTAGGGTTTAGGGTTGAGGGTTGAGGGTTTAGGGTTTAGGGTTTAGGGGTCATAACTTTCGCATCTTCAAGTACCGCATACATGGAGGGCTCAGGACTCAAGGAAGGCCCAGGACGCGAAATTGAAGGACGACCGGAAGAGAGGCAAACAAGCGCTTCGAAACACTTTCGTATATGTATGATAAGTGTATACAGAAAATATATATATATATATATATATGTAGATGTGTATATATATATATATATGAGGTGCGCGTATATATATATATATATAGAGATAGAAATCACCCCGAAGCCCCAAACACTCAACCCGAAGCATCAGGCCGTATTCAAGGTTCGGAAGTTTGAGTCTTAGGCTTCAGGTCTGGTCCTCGGGTGCAGAGTTTCGAGCCCGTGGGGGGGCAATTACATGGCTCACGATTTTTACGGTTTAAGGGTTTGGGGTTTGGGGGTTTGGGGGTTTAGGCTTTTAGGGTTTAGGATAATGTATAATGGCTCACGGCTCAATCTTTTCTGGCGAAAACTTTGGAGAGTGAGTGCAGGGTGTAATCTAGGGCTTGTCTCGCAGATCCTGCCCGCAGCCCAGTCGATCTTCGGATTCTAAATTGGGGCCCTTTTTAGGCCCCCAATATAGTACGGCACCCTTCTAAAGAAAGGACCCTAAAGGGGACCTGAACCCTAAACCCTAAACACTTATAAAAAGGACCCTAAAGGGGACCCTAACTTGGAGAACTACCAATGTGATGGGCTCTCCAATCCTGCCAAGGCGTCGCACGGTCGCCAGATATCCCCATGCCTGGTTTAGAGTTTAGGGTTTAGGGGTCTAGGGAGTTTAAGGGGTTTAGGGGTTTAGGGGTTGAGGGTTTAGGGTTTTAAGGACGCCGCCCTGTTTAGCAAGTTGGGGCTGCACGAGTTGACTCAAAGCCGCTGAGGACTGGTAAAACCGAAGCAGCGACCTCCTAAACTCCACTATAGGTAGGGTTTACGGTTTAGGGTTTCGGTTTTGGGGTTTAGGGTTTAGGGTTTAGGGGCGGGGTGTGGACAGACAACGCACTTCGACATCTGGTGCCCATACCTTGCGAAAACATGTATACCTTGCAACTTAAACCTAAGCCCACATGTACACCCTAGCATGCACAAGCTTCGTATGCCCTTAGCTTGCAGCCCGAGAAAGATCCGAAACCCTCAACCCTCCATCCAAAGGACACGCCTCAGCATCGCCCTGGACAGCGGCTTCCAAATGCTGCTCTGCTTCCGCGAAGGATCCAGCTTCGTAAGCCAACAAGCCTTTGCATTCGGGATAAGCCTAGGGCTTTAGGGTTTAGGGTTTAGGGTCTAGGGTTTAGGGGTTTAGGGTTTGGGGTTTAGGGTTTAGGGTTTAGGGTTTGGGGTCCAGGGGTTAGGGTTTGGGGTTTCAGGGGCCATAAGGCTTTGGGCCTTGGGGTCTTTAGGTATCGGAACCCTAAACCCTAAACCCTCAACCCTAAACCCTAAACCCTCAACCCTAAACCCTAAACCCTCTTTAGGTATCGGAATGGCCACCTGGAAGTTCTGTATGCCCGGGATCCAACCAAACCTTTGGTCCGGATCTGGGGGTCATAAAACCAGCCTCACCCCACTAGTACTTAAAGGATCATGGGACTTAGTAAGTAGGGTTATAACTAAGGTAACTATACTTATAACCCCAATTAGGGGACTTATAACCTTACTTAGTAAGTCCCATGATCCTCCAAGTATCATAATAGCTATGGCAGAATAGAATCGTATAGTGGTAGAATATTATGGTATGTTATAATCCATAAGTATATGGGCAGCTCTGAAAATTGGGGTCCCTTTTAAAATCTCCGAAATAGTACGGCGCCCTACTAAAACGCTCCATTCAGAAAACTACCTAAACCCTAAACCCCTAAACCCCTAAACCGCTGCACTCCCCCCAAGGTGCCCAGCTCCGTCGCGGCAGGGAAGAAGCCCAAAGCGGTACTTTCCTAGGGCTTGGAGGTTGGGTTTAGGGTTTAGGATGTAGGAATTTAGGATCTAGGGTTTAGGATGTAGGAATTTAGGATCTAGGGTTTAGGATGTAGGAATTTAGGATCTAGGGTTTAGGATTTAGGAATTTAGGATCTAGGGTTTAGGATTTAGGGTTTGGGGTTTGTGGTTGTATCGTCCATGTGAGATGTTGCAATTGCAGCAAGAAACAGCTATCTCAACGGTGAATTTTGCGAGAAACGTCTCGCGTAGGGGCCGCGATGCTCATAGTAGGGTGGTTTTGGGTAGATTTTATAGTATGGTTTTGACGAGGAACCTAAACAATAACGTTGGTAAGTGTTGCTGCAAGGTCCCTCTCTCTCTCTCTCTCTCTCCTTCTCTCTCGCCAAGCTAGCGACTAGCGGCAAGTGCTTGAACCCCGGAACTCGGAACCCTTAAACCCCATAAACGCTGGAGGTAACAGCAGCCCAGAATCCCGATACCAGCGCTGCGCTTCGCTCAAGTCCGGGGCAACGCCTGAGAGCCGTTGAGGGTTCAGAGGTTCAGGGCTTAGGGTCAAGAGACGAGGGAGTTGTGTCTACGGTCTTTGCGCTCTGAGGTGTCCCTAAACCCTAAACCCTAAACCCTAAACCCTAAACCCTAAACGTGGTTTTCGGGTTGAGTGCCGAAGTTGGATCCAGGTGCAGAGCTCAGGATCGGGCTCGCCGGGTTCAGGCTTTGGCTGGTTTTTGAAATTTGGGCCCTCAGGATTCAGAGTGTATAGGTTTAGGGTTTAGGGTTTAGGGTTTAGGGTTTAGGGGTTTATGGTTTAGGGTTTAGGGCTTAGGGTTTAGGATTCAGAGTGTATAGGTTTAGGGCTTAGGGCTTAGGGTTTAGGATTCAGAGTGTA